CCAGCCATCCACAGAGCCCACCCCCCGGCTGTTTAGCCTCCGATGCTTGACAAGCGAAATAAGGTCTGAGATACCAGAAGTGCTTCTCTCTCTTCCGTTACCAAACAAAAAGCAATACCAAAAAAAAAAAAAACCCAACCAAAAAGCAATCATCACATCCATCACCAGGGCATCAACACTTCCTCACCATTCTTCGTCACTGCTTGCGTTCAAGAACGTCAACATAGGACCCAACGGACATGGAGATATCCTTGCCCGGCGGCTTCGGTGGTGGTCCCATGGCTGGTGGCCGGTGGCGGTGGCCGCGAGATCTACGTGTCCAACGTTCGTTCCACCCTCCATCCATCCTCCTTCCCATCTTGACGGACACTAACCATTTATTATTTCCCATAGCTGCCTTACAGTTTGCGTTCGCCATCGCCGCATAAACATCACCACCACTCTGTGTGAAGTGACATGATTTCAAGTCATCAACTGCGACTCCCCATTTACCCAACTTGTGAGTACACCCGGCACCCCTTGAAACCCCCTCAGTTCTTGGTCATTCCTTGTCTTTGCGAGGATCACATACCTACACATATTATTCCTCACCATTTCTCCCTCATTCTCAAGATGACACGCTTCTGACACTCGGAACTTTAGTTCTCTTTTTGAGGCCCCTGCCCCTGGAGTGCTTCCTCGGCCTCGCGCGAGTAAGGTTCTCGGTGAAGCAGCCAGTCGCAGTCGTTGCCGACATGACCGCGCGCGGTTTCTCAACGCCGAGTAGGAAGTCCGCCTCGGGCGTTTCCTCCCCAAGCCCAAGGTTCTCGACGCTCCCAAGGTGAAGAAGGGTAGTTCCCTTTCCCTTGCTCATCATCAGACGCCTGAGCCCCCTGGGCCACCGGTGGCAAGAAGAAGAAGAAGCGCAAGACCAACACTCTGGTTGTCCCGCGCAAGACGCGTTTCTACTGCGGCACACCTCTATGCACTGGACTTCACCCGCTACGTCCGGCAGCCCCCGGTGCCACGGCCGTCATCATCACCGCCGGCGTCAACCAGAAGCCCGGCCAGACCCGCATGGACCTAGTCAATACCAACTACGGCCTGTTCGAGAGGATTGCCTACCCTGTATCTACATCCCTAACGACATGGTGGGCGCTATCATTGGCAAGGGTGGACAGAAGATCAACGAGGTCAGGCAGATCTCTGGTAGTGTGATCAAGATTGATGATCGCTCGGCGGGACAGTCGCAATTCAGCCGTACTCGTCGTAGGCGTTGGCCAACGAACTGTTGATCTCGGCCCAACACTTATAATCGAA